CCCTTTCTTTATCACACATCCAACACATTTCTGTCACTCTGGGGAATATTTGATGTAGGCTCACAGGGGTTCTGTACCAGGCCCGGACTGCCATCGGGGAGATCACAGGGGCCGGTGGGGAGATCAAAGCCGTCGGCTGGGGAGGGAAGGAGACAGGAGAGGATCCAGGGAGCTCTAGCCAGCAGCTCCGCCGGGTTTCTTTCGCGAGGTCTGAGCGTTGCCGCGGTTACCACAGCAATGCTCAGATCTCATGAGAGTGAACTCTAGCCCTGCAGGTCTCACCAGGGGATTAATACTTTTTTTTTTTAAATAAAATATATATATTTATACAAACATATTTACACTCACACTAAGAGCACTGATCCTGAAGAAAGTCCCATACAGAGGACTGACACGTTGATTTTTTAACATGAACAAATAAAGATTAGAACTTTTAATTCCGTGAGTGCTGCCACCTTTTTGGATTTATATATACACACACACACACACACAAGTGCACACATATACAGACACACATACACACACACTTACAGACACACTCATACATTTACAGACACACACACACACTTACAGACACAGACACTCACAAATTATTATTTTTTTAATAAAAAAATTTCCAACCAGCCTCCCTACCTGGAGAGCTGGCGTGGACTTGTCCCTGGGGTCCAGTGGATCGGCTGCCTATCTCCATACAACAAGCGGCGAGGGAGCTGTGTGCTCTCTGCTTCCTCCCGGCACACCCTGTGCGCACACCTATCACACACACACGTATGTATAATCAATAAAATAACCCTCAGTAAGTTAACAAAAAGAAAATTAGAAACATAGAATGTGACAGTAGATAAGAACACCCTCACACACAGCACCCCTCTTACACACACACTGCACTCCTCACACACATGCTGCACCCTTCACACATACACACAGCACACCCAACACACTGTGCTCTTCACACATACAATACGTCCAAACATATATATATATATAATATACTAGAGCACCCCTCACACTGCATCACTACACACATTACGCTCCAGATACACGCTAGATTCCTTACCCTATATACACTCTGAATCCTCTGTACACAAACACACACAATTGCCTAAACACACTCTGGGTCCTTTACACACAATATCCCCTATACACACACTACATTCCTGACATACAAACTCTGGATCCCCTATGCATACACTACATTCCTTGTAAGCAAACACACAGCATTCTCTAAACACACACTCTCTACAACCCCTACAAACACTACGTCACCTATACACACACACACTATAGCCCGTATGCACACACTCGCTACATCTCCTATACACACTATGCCCCCCACTACACACACTCTCTACAGCCCCTAGCCACACATATTACACAACAACTACAAATAAAATCGACCTATTTACACAATACCACACCACAATCAGCTCACTCTATACACACGCAATCCTACAAGTAGGCTCCAAACACATGCACCATACGCTTTCCTGGCCCTTTTGTCCTCTGGTATCCCACTTATGGAAACACTAGAGACAAATTAAAAGCAAACACCGCACAACCATGTTATTACATTTGCTTGAGTTGCGCAGAACAAATACAGGGCCTTTTTCCCATGCTTGAGCTCTTCAGTGGGGCTCTGCGCATTGAACCAACATGCTCACTTTGAGAGGGGGCGTGATTGTCATTAGTGATGACAAAACACACCCTCTCTGACCCGCCCCCTTCTCAGCAGGCCGCTGTGATTTAAAAATGCCCGGGCTGAATTGTTTTCCCAGTCCCACCCTGTTCGGTACCACCTCATAATTAATTTGTAGTTTGTCTCTACCAAGGGGGTTTTTTTTGTTACTCCTGTGTGTAAGAACATCTTAGACCATTATGACCTGGTAATATTTATGTTTAATTCTGTGGCCCATTCAGTAGTATATTTAGGTAGATGTTGACTAACGGTCTATTGTATAATGGTTCCATGCTCATTTTTATGGGAACTCATTGCAGGAGTATTTTGTTATTTAAGAATCCAACAGAACCTCAACAGTGTATTTTACTTTTAAATATATGTATTTGCATCTTTATACAGCCCTGTATTAGTTAAATGTGTGTTGATTTCACCACTTCAGATGAGAGTACCCATTTGCATCTCTTGGCTCCATCAGGCTGTATAAATAGTTTTTCCTAATCAGGAGAGTGCTGTGTTTCACATCTCTATTTTTTATCAGCTCTGTTTGTGGTATGGCTATATCTGTAATATGCTCTGCTCTATGAGACATTTTTATTTTGTGCAAAGCTTGTTTTATTGTATGAGCATCTCTGTATTATGCTCAGCTCTCTGTATTGTAAGAGTATCTCTGTACTGTATAGGAAGGAGTAAAATTCTTGAGAAGGAATCTGGTGCCCTGCTATATAAGTGACATTTTATTTTAACTAAAGGACAATGCAGCCCCATGCATATATGTTGATCTTGTGATAACCATTTTTCGTATCAGGTATTTGTTTTCTGAATTCATTATGACATTTATGAATTATTTCACTGTGGCATTTACTTGCCTGCTATATAACTATTGTGTTCTATAAAGTAACTCATACTTTCTTTTTCCTTTAGATCTTTGGTATGATCTTCAGCATGGTTCTTTGCTGTGCGATCAGAAACTCGAGGGATATGCTGTGATCTGTTCATCTGGCTCAATTTAATTGTACAGTAGCGCCACCTGCTGGCACAGGGACTGTTTTACAGCTGTCTCTTTGGACAATCTTCCTACCCTATCAAAAAAAGGGCTTTAAGTTTTCTTTGTATAAAGATATGCAATGTATTTAGGGTTCTGTTGTTACAAAGCGTGTCTCGCAGCTATATAATAGCTATTTTATTTTTATTATGGTTTGTGCTTTTAGAGAGGAAATGTTACATAAGTGATACATTTTATTTGTTGAATATTAATAATTTATCAGTGTACATTTTTATAAAAATTCAGTTTGCCCCTAAATGGACAGAAATTGTAAAAACAAATAATTAAAATAAATATGGTGGCTTATAACCCACTTAAACCCAACTTTATATGTATTTTGATCTTTGATCATGGTCTTTTTGGTTGGTTTGTTTCTCAATCACTCTTGCACTGCTGACTATTAGAAAAGAAGATGAAGTGATGACATTTTCTTTCTCCATGTGCTGAATTTGTGGTGTTTCTTCTATATTCTAGTTTAGGCTTATGAAACCTCCTGTCACTAACCATCCCAGTGTTCAGCGTTATGGAATCAGGCTGGGTGGGGGGACTTGAAGTGTGCATTGCCAGTAATGCAACTTGCATTACTGGTAACACCCATAATGAAAGTGCTGGCCTGTGTTGTGAACATTCTTGCAAACTGAAAGGGCATGGCCGACTGGCCCGCAACAAACAGTGCTATTTAGAGAGTGTCAATTTGCTGTACTGGGACAGTTCACTGGTGTCTTCAGATGTAGGATGTAAACTAATTAAGGACGGCGGGACAAGACCCCAAAATATCGGTTATTCCACCAAAAATTTGACATTTAGGAGCCCTTGATTTTTAGATTTAGAGAAAATAATTTTGTGTTAAAGGGACACAAAAATAACGTTAGCATAATGAACACTGGATGTTTGTCCATATGGATAGTTGAGGCAGAAGCCACCAGTTTTTACTGCACAAAAAGTAAACAAGTTTTTTTTAAATAAAGTGATCTATTGATATTGGAATAATTCCTAATATTTTTTTCTGAAGAACCTATTTAACAGCATGTTAGATAAATACTTGTTGCTTCTGTCATTATAATGTTGTACCTGTGTTGCTCTATCTCTTTAAAAAGGTTGTTCTATCCACCTCCCCCCCCCATTCCCCATGTCTCTGTGAAAATCAGATCAAAGCTAATTAAACATGTCAGAAGTTTTTGATGTTGGAAAAATCACCCATTTCACCCCCCCTCCCTCTTACCCCCCCAACCCCCATTATATATCTTTGAATTACTGTTCTCTCTCCTGCTTTTATCCACATTGTGGAGGCACTGAAGTAACATCCTCGTGCCTGCTGCCTTGTATAATTGGCGCCCGTCTCCTCCTCCTGCTGTCTGTCTTTAGCCAGGTGGTCTGGGTGCCCAGAATGGTGACAATATTGCTGTATCATCAGGTGCCAACTGCCTTGTTTAATAGGCTCCTGGCTGCCAGGACTGGTGCTACTATAGGGTGGCACAGGAGGCTGCCTTAGGGCGCACCCACACGAGGGGCGCAGTATCTTGGCTCCGGGTGACCAGAAGGAGGAGAGCGCACAGCCCTGCCCCTCCTGCCGGTCACTTCATGTAGAATGGCGGAGCGGACTGCATCACAGTATAGAATCTTTAACCTCTATCCGGTCAGACAGAAAGTGCTTGGTGTAACAGCTTCCTGTCAGTCCACACAGAAGAGGCTCCTCTACAGTGGTCCACTTGGCCGAGCTACATCAAGGGAGGTAAGCAGGTGAGCAAGGGGGGAGAGAGGGGCACACAAAAGGAAACAATGGTGTAGAGAGGGTCTGAGAAGAGGGCAAATACCCACAGAGGGGTTAGAGAAGCGACAATGACACTCGCAGAGGTGCGGAAGAAGGAGACAATGACAGACACAGAGGGGCTGGAGAAGGAAACGATGCACAGAGGAGCTGAGAAAGGGACAATGACACACACAGCAGCTAGGGAATGGGGATAATGACACACAGAGGGGCTGGGGAAAGAAACAATGACATACAGAGAGGCTAAGTAGGGGACAATATAACAGAGGGCTAGGGAAGGGAATACTAACACACAGAGGGGCTTAGGAAGAGGACACTGACACAAACAGATGGCCTGTAGAAGGCGACAATGACAAACACAGAGGGGCTTGAGAAGGAGACAATGACACACTGAGGGGCTGGAAAAGGGAACAATGACATAGAGGGGCTGGATAAGGAGACAATGGAACACAGATGGGCTGGGGAAAGGGACAATAACACACAGAGTGCCTGGGGAAGGGGACAATGACATACAGGGGCTGGAAAAGGGAACAATGACACAGAGGCTGAGAAGAGGGACAATGACAGGCTGGAGAAAGGGGACAATGACACAGAGGGACTGGGAAAGTGGATTTTTTAGCAGTCAAAAATCCTTGCATGGGCCCTGCTGGCTTGGATCCTCATAATGGCAGCACTGTTTTAACATCAGGTGTCTGCCGCCATAGCTTAATACCAATCCATATCTCTGGCTTTTTCCATGCAAGCCTCAATGCCAATCTATTAAGGCAGGCACCATTCCAACATACTACAGACTGGTGATGAGCAGGGAGACAGCGAATTCATGTCAACAGATCATATGCAGGTATGTCATTTGCCATTTTATTTCTTTAAAGGACCACTATAGTGCCAGGAAAACATACTCGTTTTCCTGGCACTATAGTGCCCTGAGGGTGCCCCCTCAGGGGGAAAGGGGTTTACCTTTGGTTAAACTCCTTTTTCCCCTCATCTCGCCTGCTTTGGCGGCACTGCCGCTGCAGCGGCTCATAGAAGACAATGCTTTCTCAGACGCTGCGTGCTCTCACTGTGATTTTCACAGTGAGACACAAGCGCCTCTAGTGGCTGTCAATGAGACAGCCACTAGAGGATTAGGGGGAAGGCTTAACCCATTCATAATTATAGCAGTTTCTCTGAAACTGCTATAATTATGAAAAAATGGGTTAACCCTAGCTGGACCTGGCACCCAGACCACTTCATTAAGCTGAAGTGGTCTGGGTGCCTAGAGTGGTCCTTTAAGCTGCTTAGTTATTATTTTCAGTTATTTTTGTCTTGTTATTAGTTATTTAATATTTATTTCCCTCAAATAGTTCTAGGTTGAGCAGTATGTGTAATAATAGCAGTATAATATGTCTAAAAAAATAAATAAATAAATTTTATTTATATATGTGTGTGTGTGTGTGTGTGTGTGTGTGTGTGTGTGTGTGTGTGTCCCCCGTACATACAAGGTGTGATATAGTTTGTGAAATTGGGGCGGGGGGAATGAAAAGTAATCCTTTTCCGCCATCTAGTGGCTTAACTCTGTATTACATCTATTGCACCCTGTAAGAGTTTATCCTCAACATGAAAATTACTCATGAATAGGAATATACACCTTTCAGCCACAACATTACAACTATCTGCCTAATATTGTGTAGGTGCCCCTGGTGCTTTCAAAACAGCTCAGATGCACTAAGGAATTGATTTCTTTGAACATGTCCTGTGGTAACTGGCACCAAGACATTAGCAGCAGATCCTTAAAGTCCTGCAAGTTGCGGGGTGGGGCCTCCATAGATTTGTTGTTCGAGGTCATCCCACAGACGCTTGATCGGATTGAGATCTGGGGAATTTGAAGTCCAAGGTAATATCTTCAACTCTTTGTTCAGGAATATTTTGAGGAAAGAGACAATGTTTGCAGTGTGTCCATCAGGGAACAACATTGCCATGGGGTGTATGTGGTCTGCAACAATCTCTAGGTAGGTGGTACATGTCAGAGTATCATCCATATGAATGCAAGGAGCCAAGGTTTCTCACCAGAACATTGCCCAGAGCATAAAACTATACCGGTCTGCCTTCTTCCCATAGGGCATCCTGCTGCCATCTCTTACCCAGGTAAATGACAGACACGCACCTGGCCATCCACATAATCTAAAAGAAAATGTGATTCATCAAACCAGGAAACCACCTTCTATTGCTCCATGGTCCAGTTGTAAAATTTAGGTCCCCGTTGAAGGCAGGGACAATAATGGGCACTCTGACAGGTCTGCATCCTGCCAGCAAACAGCGATGCACAGTGTGTGCTGATACATTTATATTATGGCTAGCATTAAAGGAACACTATGGCGTTAGGAATATAAAACTGTATTCCTAATGCTATAGTGTCCTTTTCCCTCTAGTGTCCCTTACCCATACCCCCTCCTCAGTGAATAATGGGTTAAACTTAGATGATGTTTACGATAAACATTGAACTCAGAAGCAAAACAGCAGGCCCAGGCCACAGAAGGATACAGGTTCACATCCCCTGTTGGGCACTTCTGGGGTGACCATGTCTGGCAGTCTCCTGTCTGAACCGTGACACTTTCTCGCTACCTGGGCATAACATCTGTTCCCTATTTCTTCCTCTGGGGACATTCTATCAGCAAAATGGGGACATTCTCTTTCTCTATTGGAATTATAATTCCGTGTTTTAGAAATATTGTGTTGAGGTGGGGGTGTCCCTTAGATGATGGGGGAACCCAATGTGCATGCTTGTCGATTGCCACAAGCATAATAAACCTTCCACGTGGGAAAGCATTGAATAAATGCTTCCCTATGGGGATTTTAAAGACGCTGGATGTGCAAAGCATGAAGACATCCCATCCCACTCTTCTGTGTGATGGGACCAGATGGGCTAGCCATCACTCCCCATGTGCATCAATGAGCCTTGGGTGACAATGTTTCTGGTTCATGAAAACATAAAATGGCACCAACAGCCACTGTTAATAAAGCATTAATTTAGCAGTCTCACTGCTAAAGTATCCCACATTAGATGTTCTAATCACTTTGGTTTATGTTTATGCAACCCTAGCAACACCTTTAATAGATGTGACACACATAGCCTTCATGAAAAATGTTTTACATTTTAGTGTGATCTCGCAGCATTGTGCTTACTTTAACAGTTTTTATCTCCTGCAGTGTTTAATTTTAATCACTCATAGGAGGCGGTTGCAGGCTCTAATAGGCTATTAACAGAGCAGGTGATACAAAATTCTAAAATAAACACACTAAGCAATAAGGGGAGTTAAATAAATAGACTTTCAGGAAATATATAGGTAGGTTGTGCAAGTTTCAGCCTAGAGAGATGTGGCTAGAGATGTGTAAACAATGTTATTTAACTCCTTAATGACAGAGATGTGTGCAGTGAGATTGCATGGGCATCATCTATACACTAAAACGACTTCATTAAGCTAAAGTTGTTTTGGTGTCTTTAAAACTGTAGAAAGAAATTAAATATTTGGAGCACTACAAGAGTTGTTGTTAAACTAATTAAAAATCATTTATATAGGAGTCAAATAGATAAAATCTATTCAGAGGTTTGAGGGTTTAGTAATTTCAAGCTATCACAAGCCAGGCTCCAGTGTAAAATAAAAATAAGATTAAAAGTACCTGGGGATTAAGTTATCATAAAAGTTTAAGGATTTGTATGATTTGATTAAGAAAATTACCAAAGACTTGAGAAATTGGTCACTACCACAAATATCATGGTACGGTCTTTACAGTATTATCGATGAATGTCCTACCCAGGCTGCTTTTTATGTTGTAGGCTGTGACGGACCACCTAGCGCCCCAACCGGGTGCCTCCGTCAATCGCTGCTCCTAGTGCTCACTGAGGACTCCAAGCACTCCACCAGACACCATAAGCACTGAACTGCCTCATCTTGGTTGGGGTCTCTCCGTCCTCCACCCACCCTGGATCCAAGACCAGGATCCAGCTTCCAGTGGGTAGACCTCTCCTACGCCAGAGAGCATAGCAGGAAGAGCTAGTGATTTTACTCAGGGGAGTATTGTGATATAGCAATCCCCAGAGTGTATGTAGTTCTCCAATCACCCAAACATGAGCCAAGACTTCATGAAGGGGTAAAAGCATCTCGTTTAATGGGAGCCAAAGCTGGCCTTTTATGCAAGTCCCCATGCAAGGGAACACCCAAGTGGACCTTGTGGGGGACAGGATGACAATTGTTACAAGCCAATGATAATGCAGTACAGTAGGTGACACCCCCACACATTACACACAACTCCTCCCCTCATCCTGGGAGATAATTGAGTTAAGTGCTGTATGTAACTCAATTATCTCCAAGCAGAAAAACACACATTTTTACATAGTATGAAAAGTACCCGAAACACAACATATCCCCATAAAGGAGCCATCTGGATCAAGATACACAATAACAGGAACCAGAGTCAATGAACTGACACTGCCCTCAGAGAGAGGCAGTATTTTATACCTGGCTAATTAGCGAAATGCTTCAGGTGGATCGAGATTTATTGGAGCAGCAACAGGAAAAGTCCAGCCCCCAGTTCTGGAGACAAGGCAAGGATAAACATTGAACTCAGAAGCAAAACAGCAGGCCCAGGCCACAGAAGGATACAGGTTCACATCCCCTGTTGGGCACTTCTGGGGTGACCATGTCTGGCAGTCTCCTGTCTGAACCGTGACACTTTCTCGCTACCTGGGCATAACATCTGTGCCCTATTTCTTCCTCTGGAGACATTCTATCAGCAAAATGGGGACGTTCTCTTTCTCTATTGGAATTATAATTCTGTATTTTAGAAATATTGTGTTGAGGTGGGGGTGTCCTTCTAAAACTTTGTTTGTGACTTTCAGAAAATTAATTTCTTCTTTGTTTGAGTGGTATTCGGGAGTTCATTTTCTTAGAGGTATAGTTGGACTTCTTTTTCCCTAATAAGATTTTGCTGCTTATAGAAATGATACTTGGATTTTATTCTCTTTATCTTTTTGATACTTTTTACTCTTTGTTTCTCATATCCTTTCATTTAGAGTCTTAATATTTTTTTGCAAGATTTCCTTTCTTTCTTTAAATTTAGTATTTTCTTATTTTCTATATCAATTCTACACTCTCCACTTGATAGAATCCAGGAGGCAGGTATTCTCCCTAAGTTTTAGTGACCACTGCTTTGTATACTGCGTGCGGAAAATAAAGGCTACTAAATCCCGAAGTTAAAATAACCAGTTTATAGAAAAGGGTTCTGTGACAAACTCCCCTTTTTAGGGGGTTTGCCATGAGTTTTTGGAGGGGCCTGCTTGCCTGCCTCTTGCTGTGACTATGGCCCCTGGATGTATTGCCCTTTAAAAGCACTATTTGGGAATATTGAATTTGAAAAGACTGTTTCTGCCCCTTTAAACTCTACTGGAAATGTTTTCCACTTTCAAAGTATTCGAAGTGGCCGCCATTCGACATACGAACACGTGGCGGCCATTTTGTTTAGGTATTTCATAGGTATTTGATCGTCGAGTTCATGGAACTCAAATCGGACACCCGACGGCACGAACACTGCTGAACCTTACCTTCCCCAGACTTTGACCCTTCGACTGGAGTCGAACACCGTTCGACAATTCGAATGGCACTTTAACATTGACGGTTTGCACGAACGGTTGCGGTTCATCTATTTGGACTAAATTTAACATGGGAAATAGACCGGCCGACAGCCTAATTCTCTGGAACCGTTTTGGGCATGAAAATGTGCGTGCGGTCGGTCAAATGTTACT